CATTTTATTTAATATATTTAATTAATATTTTCTTATATCATTTTTTAGAATTTGTTTAATCAAAGTCGTATTCATGGATGTCCGAATTGTACGATGAGCCCACAGAGGCCCACAAAACGCGAACAATTGGAAAACTAAAATCAATTAATTTCTTTCAAATTATTATTATATAAATTAAAATTTATAAGTATAAATATTTTTGCATATTTAATTTAATTACTTAATTAACAATATAATCTCTCTTTTTTTTAAATTTTCATAAATTTTATTAACTTTCAACTGCTAGGAAAAAATGTAGTAGCGAACCTACAAATATTCAATTATGTTTATATTTATTGAATAACCAGTATTGTTTACTATTAATAAAACTAATGGTAATCAAGTTACTGAATACTTTAAAAAAAGCTACGAAATTCCACATTGAGGTCCTTGAATATGCATGATATGTGCTATTATCTACACGTACAGTAAGTTTTTCTTTTTCTACTTTTTCTCTTTTAACAATAGAAGTTAGACGAAAAATAAAAGAAAAAGATAGGTATCAATGAACAATGGATGTCGTCACATTCGCTAAAACACCATCGAAAATATACGTGTCGCTTACTTACTGTCTTTTAGAGAATCATGACTAAGTTTTAATCGGAAAGTTAATATTGTATACCTTGTAAACGTAATTATCTATTCAATTCGCATAGATATTTGACAACAGTAACGATGCCGATCAGACGATTATCCTGATGACTCATCGTTTGTTATGAAAACTATTGACTCTTATTATGTTAAATCCTTTGATCTCGTTAATAAAAACAGAACTAAGACGATTAGAAAAATGTCGAACAATATTGTTCGTTTTAAATAATAAAGTTTAGAAGTTTATGGGAATTACTCTCATAGGATAAATGTTAAATCTTTTCTGAGAGAAAAGTAGGCATATTTTGTAAGAATATGATTATTTAATACCGGTTATGAACATATTCGAGGAGTAGAATGAAGGAAATCGGGTTAACCCGGTGTTGCACCGGTTTCGAATATCGAAATGCCGGTGGAATCACAAAAGCAAGAGAAAGGAACAAAGGATATGGAATTTGTTGATCCTCCGAGACCAAGGTTGCAAACATTAATATGTTACTCGGTATCTCTTTTAAATAAATAAAAAAAAAAATATAAGTATCCTCGAGTAAGAAGTAACTTGACCGAATCGAGAAATTCGTTGAAAAATATTCATCTTTCAGCATCCGAAAATTTGCAAATCGCACTTCCTAGGTTACGTCCTGTGTGTTTTGATCGATCATCGAGATCATCGAAACAATAAATTTGATTTACCAGTTAAAAATGATCGATTTAATCGACGAACCGGTTGCATCTGACAAAATTCACGATGCAGATCGTTAAATTTCCGGTTTTATCTTTGACAACAGCTGTTTCTCTCTCTCTCTCTGTCATGAATGGTAGCACTTTAAAAGTATATTGGTACCGTAAGCGTGCTCGTACTTACCGGTGAGTAGCACGTGAGTCGCCTACCAATCTTTTAGGCCCGCCGTTTGAAGTAGGTGAAAATCAAACTTGGAAATCGAACAATCCAAGGATGCGTCCTCGAGAATTTCAAATGCAGCCTTCCAAATTTACTCTTCTTTCGATCCTCTTTCCTATCGGTTAATCAAAGTTTTATTTCTAAATATAATCGTACAAAATGATTATTATAATCGAAGAAAAAAAGAAATAGGATGGACAAATGAAATACAATGTAAGTGCAAATAAACACGTAAACGAGTACGATCAAATTTCAGATCAAATATAATAATCCGAATATAAAATTCATATATATGACTAATTAAAATTTAATTACGAGTGAGTTTGTGTGATCAATTATAAACAAACGCGAATTGACAGGAATGAGTAAAGAGAACAAAAAATTAATAATAAAATGAATATGAAAAATATGATTATAGTTAGGTTGATTTTAAAAATATAAATAAGTACTCGGAATTGAAGGATAAATTTTCGAAGGAGGATGTTCGAAGACTGCAGACTGTACACAGACTGAAGTGGTCTCGATGGTTCACGAACGGATGAACCCAGTCGAATGCGTTCGCGCGAATGAATAATATGCGCGTCGGTCTCTGCGCGGACCCTGTGACCGCCGAAAAACTTCAGTTTACCACCACCCTGAAAAATTAAAGACGAAGGTGTGGTTCCGAAGGTATACACACAAGAAGATTGTTGCTACTGATTCGAGAAAGAAATAGAATTCAATTTCAAGTAGGAGGAGGAGGAGGAAGAGGTGGAGGAGGACTTGCATTTCTTCTTTTTTCTTGTCTTCTTTTATTTTGTTTGTTTTTCTTCTCACGAGTTTTTAAATCGTTCGATCGATCTACTTTCCCTGAAATCATACTAGTATACTGTTATTATCGTATTAAACAAGGTTTCGTAAGAAATAAATTTAATGGTTTACTATATAAAAAAGGAAACAATCATTCATGGAATATATGACAGAAACAAATTATAAATTATCCTTGAAAGAAGAGTGGAGAATTGGGTAGACATTTTTTTTTTTTGTTTTTATTAAAAATCTCTACCTCTTCGATGTTAATTTAAAATTTAATGAAATTTAAATAAAAGAAATTTCGTTGATTGATACCGCTATGAAAGCTTCTACGAAACCAAATATGGAAGGAGACGCGTCCGGTGCATTCGTTGTTATATACTACATAGATACATACATATGTACATACATAAATACATAACTTTAAACGAACAATCAGTGGATGACAAATGGTTTCTCGCTAAGAGGAACGATGCTCGATAAATTGACTTTTGCATCGAAAAGGTGTCAAGAGCGTAGTAAATATTGTTATGCCTACTTATGATAATTGAAATTTACGTCTTACGAATACGATTCTTTTGGAACCTGGACAGAAAACAGAGGAGTGATGTATGGCTTATTGAAGGAGTCAACAAAATCGTTAATACCTTTTTCAATATATTCCAATGAATCTTATTTATTGTATTCTTTTCTTCTCTGTCAGTGACTTCGTCAAATTTATCTGCAACTAATTATAATCATTAAAATACATACACACAATTAAAATAAATTTTTGTCATCAACTATTTTTCATAACATTTGAAACAATTTTTTTGTTTATTCGTTGTATACAATAATTATGAAAATCAAAATATTTTAATTTTAAATCAAATCTATGATCCAATTAATTTTAATATTTTGTTTAATCCGTAGTCTATTTTTGATCTTCCGATACTCAAATTTGGAATAGGTAAGGCATGTTTTAAGAAAAAGTCCGAATTCGAACTTTCACTATCGTCGCAATAACTGGACAATCGACGAGAATGCAGCAGTAATACTTACTATTCGTGACAAGAAATTCAAACTTGCTTTTCAAAAGTGAACGAAACAAAGTGGTGAACACTTGTGTAAGGAATACGTCACACAGTTTGATTGCTTACATTTATCTATCTCTTTCTTTCTCGTAGTTACTTTCTTGAATAAATAGATATATACGTATGTATGCAATGTACATACATCTGGGTATATTCTTTATTGCAAATAAATAAATGTATCGAACATTAATGCTACGTAATATCGAAGAGAAAATATCTTCAAGTTAAAGAAATATATTATTATATTAAAGTATATAATATATTACACTAATTTATAAAAATATATAATTAACGTAATCACAAATCACATGATATAATGAATTTCTAATATATACAAAATACATAAATAATCAAAACTAAACCAAAAAATTGATAATAAATCACATATAAGCGACTAATAAGCGCAAATTTATTCAAATGCGAGGGTAATTCATTATGGCTGCCGCGATTTGATTGGACGTTGATTTATCCACGCCAATGACGCCATTTTGAATGATATTATAAGACTTACGATCGCTTTACTAATTTTTTATTAAAATTACTTAACAATAATTAAATAAATTTATCACAACAAATGATCACACTTAATTCTAATCTCTTTTAAACATAAATATTAGAAAAAGAAAAGTCTACATATATATAATATTTACAAAATACAAAATCCTCGAACACGTAAAACATTGAATTTTGATATCGATTAAGTACAAAGAACAAGCAGATAAAATTCGAAGCTGGCGCTGGCGCATTAGAGTCAACGTTTTAATAATCGTAGAGATACTCGGTGTACGTGTTCGTGAAAGATCGAGTCCTCTCGGCTTGTACAATCGGATAGTCCTCGGACTAAATCCATCAGTACGGATCCATCCCTCATTGCGATACGACCTGGAGAGTGTTAAATATTATTTCGAAAACGGTAAATCTCTTCTCTTTAATTTTCTCACTTGAGAAATATAAATTATTGGAATTCGAAGATCTGCAGAGAACAACTGATAAGGAATGCTCGTTAACAAGTGGCAGTCTGTTCATCCTCTAGCACGCTGTTTCCTTCTCAGCGGTAATTATTATCAATTAATTGTCTATCTTCTCTTTAAATCTATAAAACTTTCCCCCTTTTTGTGTCATCTGTATTTGGTCGATCAAACTTATAAAAAATATATAATTTTTATAATATATTTCTTTGATTTATAATATGAGGATGTGTGATCAGAAAAATTAATTTCAAATTCTATTGGAAAATTTTGAACATTTTTGTATTAAATATTTCATGAAAATTATCTACAAAGTAACTGATAAATATAGTATTGTGTGAATGACGATTGAACAATTAATAATCTTAATTTTTCTTATCAAAAGATACAACTTTAGTTCCGTGAAAACTTGACCTACTCAAAGGCTTTCCGGTGTAGGTTTCGATCGATCGAATACACATCCTTCAAGAATTTTCGCGTCAATTTCAAATATATATTGCAAACGTAAATAGAAAATGAATCGTTTATCGTGAGATTTCGAAATAAAAAAAATAACAAGAGTGATCATATGAAAACATAAGATTAGAATCCAAACAATCAGTACGTCATAAAACTTTTCTCCCTCTTTTACTCAATTATCTTATAATAATTAAAAGATAATACACTCGAACGAAAAGAAAATAATTCCTATGATGATTAAACTATTAGCACTCTTGATTATCAATTGATAAACGTAATTACTTTTAGTTGCAATGTAAACAAGTATAAATATTTTGTGTATCATATTCGCGAGGGTATTTGTAATATCTCGAGAATCTCTTAGATCACTTTTATCTTATCTGAGACTTTCGTTATGAAAATTTCCTACAAATTGTCTCAATGTGATCAATGAACGATAATAAACTTTTCTTTCAATCGTACGAGAAATAACGTATTTCGAAATATTCAAACACCAAATATTTAAGTTTTATAAATATTTTCTTGTATACTAACTCGATCTATTAACATTATCGTTCTATAACATTTGATATATTCTCTCGCATAATAATAATAATAATATTAATATATAAACTTTTGTCGAATATATTTAAATAAATATTAATGTACAATTATGTTTAATGTTCTCAAATTTAGGAGACAAAAAATAATTTAATGTTTCAATTTAAATCAATTTAGTGAGAGATTATTTTTATTAATTTGAGATTATAGTTAAAACATATATCTTATTTATAACATATAGTATAAAAGCTATAATGCTTAGATAGTTGAAGCAATTGCTTTTAACTGGCATTAATAAAAGTAATCGTTTGGTCGGTCGAACAAATGCTCTCGAATGATATGATTAAAATCGACCTGAGTCCTCTCTATCTCACTGAATATATTTACGTGATATTGTATCTCATCGAGCTTTGAATTCGATCGATAAGAATGTAAACTCGAAAAACCAAGATATTGATCTTGATTTTATTATTTACCAGGTCAAAACTTCTCAATCTTTTAATCACCCAACCAAGCAAATTTGTATTTAATGATACTGTAACTTCAATATTTTTAATATACAATTATTTTAAAACTTGATAGAGATTGAAGACATTAAGATTGTATATCTTACAATTAATAATACAGTTATTACCGTGGTATATTTTTGGAAATGATTGAAGAGGATTTTTTTTTTTGTTATTATTACAGGCCAGAGGACCCATTGGAAAAGATGTTTGACTGGATCAGCATTGAGAGAACCAAAAGAACCGGTAGTTACGACAGAAATACCTGGACCACGTTCGCGAAGTTTGCTTCAGGAATTAAATTCGATGCAGGTATTTATACAAAAATGATCTTTAATAAATTAATATAAAATTTGTATAAAGATTTTTTTTTATCTTTCATATAACGTAACATAATAATAATAATAATAATAATAATAAAATTGACGAAGTAATTTTAATATCAAATTTGTTATTTCACAGCAAGCGTCCTCGGTCCAATTTTTTGCGGATTATGATAAATCTTCTGGCAATTTCATAACGGACGTAGATGGGAACACATTGTTGGACGTTTACATGCAAATTTCGTCGATACCTTTAGGCTACAATCATCCAGCTATGTTGAATGCTCTCACTGATCCGATAAATCAAGTAAGTAAAAAACGAAAAGAAAAAAAAAGAAAATAATAAAATTGTTGGATAGTTTAATGGAAGATTTGTAAATAATTTGTTATAGAAAGTTATAGTCAACAGGCCTGCGTTAGGTGTATTCCCAGGAAAAGAATGGCCTAGCAGATTGAAAAAAATTTTTCTTAGGAAAGAGGTAAACGATTAATGAATGAATCAATGAAATTGAATAATTAATGACACACGAGAACGAAATAAAACAAAGATTTGAAAATGTAGATCGCTCCCCCAGGATTAACACAAATTACGACAATGATGTGTGGTTCCTGTTCAAACGAGAATGCTTTCAAAAATATTTTCATGTGGTATGCAGAAAAAGAACGCAAAGGAGCATCTTTTACCAAAGAAGAAATGGAAACTTGTATGATGAACTTATCACCTGGTTCTCCTAAATATTCAATCATGTCTTTCAAAGGTATATGCCAAAACACACAAACAACATTTTTTGGAAAAATGAATTATAATTAAATATGATTTCATTCACTTTTAGGTGCATTCCATGGTAGAACTTTGGGCTCGTTATCAACGACGCATAGTAAATATATACACAAGATGGATATACCAGCATTTGATTGGCCAATAGCTTCGTTTCCCGAGTACAAATATCCTCTGGAAGAAAATATTCGTGAAAATAAAGAAGAGGACAAACGTTGTTTGGCCGAGGTATCGACATTTTCGATATTCTTACCAATTAAAAATTAATAAAACATAATTTTTTAATTATTGTTTGTCAATGGTAGGTCGAAGAATTAATCGAAAAATACAAGACTGAAAAGAAAATACCGGTAGCCGGTGTCATAATCGAACCAATTCAATCGGAAGGTGGTGACAACCATGCGTCTCCTGAATTCTTTCAAGAACTTCGTCGTATTACATCTAAAGTACCATTGATTTTATCCTAATCACATTACAACTAATTACTTCATGTTTTATCATCAATTTAGTATGTTTTTTTTTAGCATGAAATAGCTTTGCTCATTGACGAAGTGCAAACCGGTGGTGGACCAACCGGGAAAATGTGGTGTCACGAACACTTCAATTTAAATACGCCACCAGATTTAGTGACCTTCAGTAAGAAAATGCAATTGGGTGGCTATTTTCATCGGGAAGATTTAAAGTAGGAAATCATTATTTTCATATAACCATTTTCAATTATCCTATTTGAATTAATAATTTGTTGTTCTTATCGCAGACCAAAACAGTCCTATCGTGTGTTCAACACGTGGATGGGTGACCCAAGTAAATTGATATTACTTGAAGTAGTATTAGACACCATAATAAAAGATAATCTTTTGAAACAAGTCAACCGAGTAGGAAATTACTTGTTGAAGGAATTGAATACTCTACAAAATGAAAATTCTACGATAATCAATTCCGTTCGTGGTCGTGGAACATTTATAGCTTTTGATTGTAAAACGTCTGATAGTCGTGATGCTCTTATCAAAAGATTATTAGCTAAAGGTAACAGAGAACAATCTTTCCATTTATTTTTTTTAATAATACTTATCTTCTTTCTCGTACTGAAATGTATTTTTCCATTGTAAACAGGTATACAAACAGGTGGATGTGGTGCCAAAGCTGTAAGATTAAGACCAGCATTAACATTCACGGAATATCATGCTGATATATTTTTGGACGGTTTACGTTCAGTTTTAAAAGCTTAAAAGAATCTTATGCGAATTTATTATTCAATTCGCGTTTAATCTCACGTCTTCCATAGATTATAGTTAAATTTTTAAATAATTTGTTAAAAAAAACTTCTACAAAGTTTATCGTTGGATAATCGACATATTTTTCTATGGCAGTTTTATTATCGTATTTAATTATTATCGATATTAATAATAATAACATCAGGAATTTATTTAATCGGATATAATCAGTATTGGTCAAAAGTTTATTACAATTAATTTTTAATCCACTTAACATTTTAACGTTTTAATTTCTCATTGACTTGACGCATTTGAATCTTATTATTCATATTTTTCTTATAATTATTCTTTTTTTATTATTCGCATTTATATATGCAATGTATTCTTATTACGTTTCTATATTTGTTTTATTATTTCGCATAGAACTGATAGAAAATTGTATTTTTTATCAAACGTTCAAGTTCAAACAACACATTTTAATAACAATTTTTAATATACGATAGTACAAAACATTTGTTCCTGTAATTTTAACTTTATATATATATATCGTAATATTATTTGGCTGTATCGTTTAAAGTTAATTTATATTAAATAGTTAATAATACATTCTTAACTTACTTATATAGTTTGAATAATTATTCGATTTAAATTATGAATTTTTTCTAATTTCAATACGTAAAAAATTTTCAAAAAAATCTATCGTGCAACAGCAACATGTCTTCCAAATGACTGCCAATAAATTCTGTTAAGCATATAAAAAAACCTACGCCTATCTTTCATTTTTCTCCCAACGTGGAATTTTGAATATTCTATAAGTATAACAATTAGATCCAAAAAATTACTTTATTAGTATCTATTTATTCATTTTTTTGAGAATCTCGGCGAAATGTTCGTATTCCTGGCAATGCATTTTTTGCATCATATATGCTATAGTTTTTATCTAAAAAAAAAAGTAGATTCTAATGAATTGGTTTCAATATCTAAGTCTATAGTATTTAGAATGAAAATATCAAAAATTTAAATACCTTAACTTTAGGATCAACGGAACCATGCCGTTGAGACAAATTCCACAGATTGACAGCAATATTTGCTAAAGCTGGTTGACGTAAATCTGCTCTTATAATAAAACGATTGAAAAGTTCTAACGCGAGAATGGATTGTTTATCCAATTGATCACTGGATCCGAGATATTTCAAATGATTCAGTATTTCTTCCATTATTTTAGAACATATTTTGTTGACTTCTCCTAAAAACTTTTGATCAGATCCATAAAGTTTATCATTGGAATCGACCTAAAAAAGAATCTATTTTGTAGTTTTGTTTTCTTTTTGTATAAATATGTTTAAAACAAAAGATCGTATATGGAAAAATATAAATTACCTTGTCTATATGATAGGGATAATTCTCTTGCGTCACAGTTGAAAGAAGATCAAGTACACGTAAATATAAATATGCTTTAGTTGAGGTACTTTCGTCGCAACAACGTTGAACAGCATTGAGCAACCCTCTCATTAAATATAAAACACCATGTTCTGGACTGTCCTATTGTATTTAAAATATTTGCTTTTTATCAAAAAATTTAACTTTTATCTAATATACATATTTTTAATCTGTAAATAATAATAATAAATAAATACTAACCGGAACGACCAATAACGTGGACAGAAAATTGGATAGATACGACAATAGATATGGTTGTGAATTTTTTTGTCTCCCATCAATGTCTATAGTTTTAGGCATCTCCGGAACCAAGCTTAACGCTGCTTTGAAACAAGCATCGGCTAATAAAAACACAAGATATATATTTTAAAAATTGATAAACGAATAAAATAGGATTTAAATAAAATTGTATTTTACCTTGACCCAAACATTGGTTCAAAAGTGCTACTTGTCCTGACAACAAGTATAATTGTAAACGAATATGTACTAAAGTTAATGACGGAATGGTTATGAAACAAAACGCTGCACATGCACGTACAAAAGCTGAAGTCCTTCTAGTATGATGTCCACGAATTATTTTCCTTGTATCCACAGCTAATCTATTAACACACTAAAAATATAAAGAATTATTATAAATATACTTGAATTATTTTAAATACAAATTATTAAATATTTTGTTTACCTGTATGAGTTGTATATGAACGCTATCCAAATTAGGAAAAGCTGCTCTAGCTTCAACATAAAAGTTAAGCTGCTTTTCGAAATCCCGACCATAATCAACTCGTTGCACTAGACCACAAATCAATTGCCCTATTTGACGTTTTTCATCTTCGACGGTTAAAGCACTGCAATCATTAATTAATAGACATAAGAAATATAAATAACGAATGATACGTTGTTTATAACAAATAATACACACCTAACAGAATCGTGCATTATTCTAGCGATAAACATCAGAGCATTTATAATAATTGGATCTGTAATAGGACTGTTCTGATTGCTTAAACCTTCTATGATAGTTTTACAAACCTCGACTCTAATACTTTCTTTGTGGAACAAATCTATCAATGGCAGGAAGTTATCCTAAAATGAAATATAAATTTTATTGTGAATTTATAATAAAATTTGATGTATACAAAAAAATATTTTATTTACCATAGCCAGTAAAGATTCAAAATCCTGAGTATAAGCAACTATCTTTTCTACAACCGTTTGCAATTGCGGATAATAGTGCTCGAAGGTTCTATTTGGACTAAGACGATCGATTATTTGTCCAAGAAACATATTCAATTCGTTGACCTTGAATATATAATATAAATTATATCATATATTTAATTCTACATTTTTAACAAAAAAATTGTATGACTTACAGAAAAGTGCAGAACCGTGAATTGTATCCAAATTTCAATGCAGTGCATAAATTTGGTAGGATCTTTGAGTTCGCTGATATATTTCCATATTATTTGGAGAACAGCTTGGCAGTCCTCTTTCGGTGGAGATTCTTTTACGAGACACTCACCTAAACTTCTGTATAATAAATGCTGTGGGTATCCTATCAGATAATGAAATAAAAAAAAAGATTAATAAAATATCTATTTAATTAAAAAATAATAGTCTATTTACATTACTTGAAATGGTGTAATTTATCTCGCTCATTACCATCATCTTCACTTTCTGCTATTAAATTAACAAAATCCATAGCGCGCACAGCAATGTATACTGGTTTGAATGCTGTCAACACAGAGTTTAGCAATAAAGAACTAAAACAAACCAGAAACAATAGAAACAAATTATTAAATAGAATTAAAATAATGTAGCAACGTTAATCCTTTGACTGCAGAACATTCAGAAAGAAAACACAACAATTGCTTTGTTTGCTATAGGCAAAGATTTCGCATGGAGCGCTTATAAACGCTGTTCGCATCAATAGAGCGACTTCCATCGGACGCCTATAGGAGTTGTTAGTAATCAAAGGGTTAAAATAATAAAATAAATTAAATACCTTTTGGTCTGTTGTTTGCATCGAGAAAGAACTTCCTCTAAAAGGCTATCTGAAGCTGTTGCTACCAGGACTTGTAAAATCCAATCTAATGCAGGTAAATAAAGATTTAAATATGAATGCAAAGTCATATTTTGTTTAGCTAATTCGAGCTTTACTGATTGTCCAAACAATTGATGATATGTAAAAAGAAAATCATAAAGATTTTCTTTTGCGAATTCGAAATCTGAGGTTTTGTTTAATGCAAGTCCAACTCTGCATAAATAACATCTAGCATAGACAGCTATCAAGGGATTCCCAATTCCTCTTATCATTCGAGTTATGCGTAACAGAGCTGTATGAAATTCACTGAAAGTAAAATATAGCTGATTTTAATATCATATTACTTAAAATGATTACTATGATAAATATTAGTAAATCATTTTACCTCGTTGTTAAAAAGCTATAAGATTTTATTATTGCCATTTCTACGTAAAGTCTTGGAACTAATTCTCTTATTGATGCTATTTTATAAAACCAATTACGACACGTTTCTTTTGCATTTTCCGGAACCATACTTGGCGTAAAATTATCGGGCAAGCTTGTAGGTACTTTACTTCCTGGTCTATAAAATTATAATTAAAAAATACATGATAAACTGAATTTAATTCTAACAAAATGGAATAAATAGTAAAACTAACTTAAAATATTCAGCTTTGACCTTCAATCTTTCATAAACAAGTTTACCAAAAATATCTAAAATATCTGTGATCAAGACAAATTTGCTAGGATAAAAAGCCATTACAGATGTATCCACTAATAATTTAGCACACTGAAAAAAATCAAATTTAATTTTAATCTTCCAGTGTAATTTTCATTAAAATAATATCTAAAAAAATAAAAAATCGTACTTGAATCGCAATTTTCAATGCTTTAACCCTTTGATCGGAATGCCATGCTTGTACTAATTCATTATTTAATTGTTCGATCCTAGCAGTGTACTCCTGCTGCGACAAATCTAACATTTGTCTAACTGATCCTTCTTCAAAATCATCCAGTTGTTCTAATCTTGTTCGTACTTTATCAACCATTGTTCCACTTGGTTGTACTTTGACCAGAACTAAAATAATTAAATTGTAAATACCGCAGTATTAAAAAATCTGATACAAGTTACAAGATGAATGGTAAATGTGTACCTTTTTCTCCTCCTGACAAAAAACTAGTAACGATCGATAATTTTTCCGATGTAGTATATTTACTTAAAATAGCATTGCGTCTAGCCAACCATGGCTCGACTAATTCATCCGTAGTATCTCTAGGCTTTTTACCAGGAACTGCTGTAACGCAAGAGTAATCCCACTGCAATGAAAATTAATTAATTAAATCTTTCTATTCATTTTATAACAAATGATCATACAAATTACCTCATCCGCAGCCATTTTAGATAAAGGATCTAACTCTTCTCGTGCAAATTGGGTGAGTGGATCCGAACCATCCAAAGTAGAATGGCTCATTAACGGATCCATAGACAAATTTGTTGGTAAAGGTGTATGAGTTGGTGTTGGTGTTCCCGTTGAAGAACCAGTGCTTGTACTTCGTAATACATTTCTTCTGACTCCGCTACGTCCATTGATTAACTACAACAAATTAATTTCATAAAAATGTTGTTATAATAAAATATTTGTTATTTAAATATCTTACGGTAACTGTAACTGGTTTTAGAGGATGTTCAGTTACTTCTTCTAGTCGAGCATATTTTACAGATCCATAATCTACTGGTTTCGCTACCCTACAATAAATATATGACAAATTTAATTATAAAAAAATGAAATGTAATATAAAATAAAAAGATTTGATAAATTTTTAGTAAATACAAACCATTCTATTTCCATTGTGCTCTCTGTTCATTTATATATCCTACTTTGATATAAAAAGTGAATAATAATCTTGATTGAAATGTGTTACACGCACAATTAATTATAATTCAAATTTGAGTGATGTTTTTACAACATTAAATAATAATAATAACAATATTTGAAACAGCAACAATTAATAATTGTTTCTGTCCAGTACATTGATGTATATAAATTGTTCAGTAATTAGGAAATGTACAAAATTCATTGGTGATAAACGAGTGACATTACTAGAAGATAAAATTATCTTATCACCCATATAAATAACTTTTTCATGTATCATTATCTATATTCGTAACTTTAAATAATTACATCAAATATCATATTATTTTACAATAAATTAATCAAAAAAATATAATAAACTACTATATTTTACCAATCAAATACAATGACAGCTGAAGTACGCATGATATACAAATGCTACTGCAGTGATATCTACTGTCAAAGGTTGAAATTGAAAAAATGCGGGAGTCAGGACGTAAAACCAGTCGGTAAATTAAATGAAACATTTTCCATTTGTGTCTGAAAATAATTTATATTATTAGTATTGACAAAGAGAATTATTTGTTATCAAATTCACACATTCAAAGATACTAATCGTTAATTTTTAATAAATATTCTAATTCGAAACCGATAATTTTCGGTGGTGGGGATAATTTCTAGATGAAAACTTAAGATATTTTTGAGATACAAAGCGAAATTTTTTTTTTAAAACGAATAAAAATTTTCCTAATATATTTATTAATTGTACAGTTAAAAAAATAAAAATTAATAATAATTCGTTTCATAAATAATAAGAAATAATTTAAAGTAATTATTTTGTATGATAGTAAAAAATAAATGTCGGCAATTTCGACAAATGGCGGTTACTCCCTCCCGAATTTGACTGACTTTGATTTGACTAGTGTTAGAATTATATACATCACATATAAATATATATATATATACACACATTTAAAAAAAAAAATATATATATATATACATTACATAATATTTAAATACATAGTTGGTGATAAAAATAGTCTATTGAATAAGAAAATATTTCAGATAGAAACGTTCATCTAGGAAAAATTGAACGTTTTTGGGTGGCTAATCTGATTTAAAATACCACTATAATATTTGTACTAACAAAAAAAGACGAACTTTCCAACACCCTCTACTTCCTTGAAAGGTTCGAGCTCTGTTCGTGCTATCGGATATCTTGGGCTTGACTTGTGAAAGTCAAAAATTAGCATTTAAAATTTGTGAGATGTCAGCGATAGATGATGTTTTAGAAAGTTGGGAAGATATAGATGATCCAGGGGTAGGTTTATTACTAAGATATCTTTATAATAATATTTCCTATCTAATTAAAGATGTTTAAGTAATCATGTTAACCTATTTTGCACATAAAATCTTTCAAGTGAGAATTGTGATGCGCACTTATTGTGATCATTAAATTAATTATCGTTATGTATTATATTCACGACATAAAATTTATATATATTTGTATAAATTTATCAATGTTTTTCATATTTTATATTGTTCTGATATGATCTATCCAAATGTTTGATAAATATGGAATGAAATTGGAAAAATATTTTATCAATACTTTCACATGTCTTGCCAGTTTTATTGCTACGGTACTAAGAATCAAATGTTAACGAATAAACATATGTTAAGTAAATATGCACATATATATTTTATTTCTTATGAAACATGGATGTTTGTTGATATGATAATAATATGATATTTGTAAATATGAATATGATTATATAATATTGCAGGTTCTTGAAAAAAAATTGGATGTCCTTCAACTGGATACTGTAGAAGCATTAGAAGAAATAGAAGCTCCTAAGTATGATTGATAAATAATTTTTAATAGATGTATTTATATATATTTCATACAAATATATACATTACGTTACGTTATTTCAGTTTCAAGACTACTACTAATGATAATACCAATAGTACAAGAATGATCATTTTGGGTGAAGATGGAGTGAGATCTCAGTATGTACCGCCAAAGCCTACAGTTAAGATATTGAAAAGACCAACAAGAGATTCTCAGGGTAGCGGCGATGGTCCTATGTTAAATGAAGAGAAACCGAAACAACCAATAAAATCACTGAAACAGGTATGTGTAAAAATGAAAATATATATCCACTCATAGAGAGAAGATTAATTCAAATATAATTTAACAAATTAGAGAGAACAAGAGTATGCAGAGGCGAGAAGAAGAATATTAGGAGAAGAAAAAAGTCCAGAAGAAAAATTAATTCAAGAAATAAATAAAATTCAACCAAAGTTTTCGATACCGGGTGGAAGTAGTTCTCTTCCTAATAATGTCACTCGTATGCCTATCGGTCCAGATGGAACTCAGGGATTTAATGTACGCAGGTAGCATGTCTTCCAGGGATCAGCCCTTATCACCTATCTTTTTACTCTCCTTCCTTCTTCTTGGCATGGGAAAGAGAGGCGGCTATGAGGCCGACAGCAGAGAACAGCTTTGTGTTCCTGACCAACTGCAAGAATTTAACTCTATTGGTCTTAAGCGTAACACATCGAGAGCTGTGCCCTGCAGGTCATTACATAGAGATCGCGCACGTCGATCCCCAAGATTATATTCTATCGGTGAAGATGCGTAACTGTAACAGTGATAATATTCATTGCCGAAAATTAATATTATGATTTGTTAATGTTTGCTATATTTTAAAGAATCCTATTTGGAAAGAAATAAGAAAAAAGAAACGGGATTCAAAGAAAAGATTTTAAAAAAGACCCCAAAAAAAAAAGAGAGAGATTATAAAAATTGAAATTAAATGAATAATTCTGACATATATGCTAGACGGAAATAAAAAAAGAACAGATAAAAACGAAGTTTAACATGCTATCAAATTATATTTTACTCTCCAGCCTTGTAATAATTCTTAAATATTATAATTGACCTATAATAGTAACAGAGAGTTACCTACACGTTATTTTCGTAGTTATTTCTGTAGATAGCTGTACGTAGGTGTAAAATAAACATTCTTATGTTGACGACGAACTAATATTATCTTAAATATTGTTTATATAACTATCGAATTGTAATCGTAAATTGTTTATATATAAAATAATTCAACGAGAATTGTTCAGCATCGAATTTCTATACTATTACCCTCCCTAATAATATTTGTAAGTAATTCATAAGTATACTGAATATATATAATATATGAATATATGAAATAACGTGGGATGCAATTGTTTAAAAATTCGATATACAAAAAAGAACTAATCGATCATCATTTATTGTTCCCCAATAATATTATCTGCGACATCTTCATATATGTAATAACAATAAAATTATGTTCATTTAGCAAACAAATATCTCAACATTGTTTGGTATAAATTGATATTAATGCTGGGAATAATACAAGGATTCTTATTGTTTGGTAGAATTGATGGCGCTGTAAATTGTATGATAAAAACATGTGCATACAATAGTTTAGATAAGTTTAAATTTACAATGTTGGCAACATTTGAGTGTATAGAAATCACGCTAGACATATTATAGTATATCATGGCGCATGTCAAATCGTGCGTCTGCTATCGGTTCCTCGGTCACCCGTCGTACGAAAGGGTGTTTTAACAATTTTGAAATGAAACATAGAAATTCGTTGCAACAATAAATATTTCTTCAATATAAATTCAAAAGATTTCTATTCGTCTGAAATTATATGAAAAATATGGCTGAATCAGCTGGACCAATCCTTCATGTCATAGTCGTTGGATTTCATCATAAAAAAGGATGTCAAGTAAGCGGATCTCTTCTGTCAAAATTAATAACCTTTATTTGATAGGTTTTAAAAAACCTTATTGATAATTCCCAATCCGTTCATTTTTAAGATTATTCCTTGTTAATATAAATTATGTTATTTTGACGATAATTACAGTGGCAAAGTTAATGTTGTGTCCGGTTTGAAAATTATAAATTAAAATTTATGTAAATTATATACACACATACATATTGTTTATTGACCTGTATTTTAATATTTTTTAAACGCATAGGTCGAATACTCTTTTCCACCGTTGGTACCAGGTGCACCAAATGAGTGTCCACTTGGTTGGAAGTACTTACCAACTTTAGCATTACCTGATGGATCTCATAATTATGATGAAGATACTGTTTATTTTCACTTGCCTAGTCTCAATGACCCTAAACGTACCATTTATGGTATCTCTTGTTTTAGACAAATTCCTGTAGAGGTAATTATAATCTAAAGATCTGTATTTAATATGAGAACTATGCATAGAATATAAATAAATATGTTCACAGAAATTAAAGAATCGAACTTCAGATATAACTAGAGGAACAGTACAAAAGTCAGTTTGCGTGTTAAGTACTTTGCCACTTTATGGTCATATTCAAGTGAAGATGGCATTAATAACGCATGCATATTTCGAGGAAGGAGATTTTAGTAAAGTATCGTTGTTAGAAGACACTTATCGTCATCTTAATTCATGTATGAGTGGCGAAAGTCAAATACCGCCTCAAGTATTTGTTGGTAACCATCTATTGAAATTTATTTTCGCGCATATTAACTAAATTGTACATTTATATATTTAAATGACAATATTACTTGTAGGTCTATCCGCCAGAGATTTTATATTACAATTTCGCCATAAAGTACTACTTTTATTTAAATTACTTTTACTGGAAAAAAGAGTAGTCTTTTATCAATCACCTGTACAGCCATTATGTGCCACAATATTAACTTTACTTTCATTATATCCCGGCATGATTGAACATGGTCTTCAACAAGCAGCTTGTGTCAGGTATTTTAAATGAATTCATATACTTGATATACAATTTGTACTTCTATTACAATTTTTTGTTCTAATAGACCATCCAGACCTATGTCTCCCATACCAACTTTTGATGATGAAGAAATTGCATTAAATAGTATCGATTCTAATTTAACTACCACAAATATTATAAAGGAGAACATATCAGATCTTACTCATATTAACGATAACTCTAATAGAAATTCCTTATGTATAAATGATAATAAAACTATTGAAACTATGGAAGGAAAATGTCTGGACGCGTTTGGTAATATGACCATACAAAAAAATAATAACGAAAATTTAAATGAAAAAATTATCGATGTAGTAGAATCTGCACAAGAGTGTACTGAAAGTTATGAAGAAAATAATTCTAAGTACTCGCCAAAAGGAAATGACAATGTACACAGAGTTCATAGTGTTAATACGATTACTTTAGGCATGGGTGATGCCGATAATAGTTTGCCACGCGATACGAGTAATGATGCATTATCTGATGCAAGATTGACCAACAATATAACTCAAATAGCGCATATAAATCCAGAACAATGTGGAATGCCATTGAGTTTATTTACAAAGGTACAGATAACAATTTGTATTTAAAAAGTCAATTAAAGTCGGCATATAGTTTGTTTAATTGCAGAATAACTTGTAATGAAATTCGTTTTTTATTTTCAAGGGATACCTTTGTCTACCATATTTATCTTTACCATATTTAGATCTCTTAGGAGATATTAATGTTAGAGGATACGTAGTTGGAGCGACGAACGTTTTATTTAAACAAAAAAAACAATTGATCGATGTTTTAATCGAGGTGAGTCGAGAAAAATCATTTGTTTAATTAACCGTTCGATATTATTATTGGACTTTAGGTAAGAAGGTATAAAACGCGCTTAGTATTTCTTACAAAATATATAATACTGTACATATTTTAGTTCAATGTCATAATTCAGTGATAAATCCAAAAACACGTGCGATTTTATTTTGTATTATTTATGGAAGGTCGAAAACACAAGAATAGAAGCTACTGATCCAGAATTGAGAAGACAATTACATCTCACTACTGAGGATCTAAGATTTGCAGATTATATAGTTAGACATGTCTCAGAACCCCGGAAAGATATTTTCTTGGATGGAGTTGGATGGGAAGGTGGAGATGAGTGGATTAGAACTCAATTTCGAGTGTATCTTTTAAGTATGCTGCGTACTTCGATCCAGCAAGATACGCGACAGTCAGATCATTTTAATTCTACGTTCATGGCTGCTTGGCGTATGACAAATAATTACAAAATGTGGAGTAGCTTGAATAAACCGGAAATCAATAATATTGAACCTGGTCATCCTTTTGCTGGTCAATTATCCGTTCAAGATATGAAATTACGTTTCTCGCAGTAAGTTAGTCAAATAATGCAATGTTCATTAATTTTATATTATTAATTTATTTGTTACTCTTTCATTATAGTACTATGCAAAATACTGAAAGTGGTAGGAAACTCAATCAAGCAATGCTTTCAACGGGAAGAGCGGTCGCGACTACTGGAAAAGCCGTAGGTAAGATAAGTTCTTAACTTTTATCGGAAATTCTAACCAACAATATTATTTAAATAAAATATTCAATATTTTTGTAATGCAAGGTGGTGCAATTTCGCAAGCTAAGGGAGCTTTTTCTAACTGGTGGAGTACGTTAACGACAGCACAAACAATAGATGAAATGAAGACTGATAATCAAGCTTCGAATATTCATCAGACCACTCTTTCAAATACTATCGAAAAAACGCCAACTGACAATGAAGACTTAACTATTCAAGCTAATAATACAGACGTAATAACGACCGTAGATTGATAGAAGAAACTCTAAGATTACTTTATGGTTAAAAATAACAATTTTTTAAATCTGATTTATAAGAGCAGAAGCATTCTAAGATTGACGACAGACTATTTCTTCGAGGAATCTGGAAAATTCAGTAAGTACTGTGATAGGTATCAAATTTTGATTATATTATCACAGAAACAGTTCTTTTTTCTCGGTCATACATAAAAAGTTAATTCAACGAATATACGTACATACATGCATATATACATACATGCTCAAAAAATCATTATTCGTGTACAGAACACATATTCGAATCATAACATTTTTAGTAACAACGGACGTAATGTTTATAAAAAAAAAATAAGGAAATGCTTTAGTATATAAAAGTGTAGACGTATTTCTGATCATAAACTTTTTCCGATAGCATGTATAATTCACACCGTAGATACATGTTTGTTTCGTAAATTAGCTCGCAGTAAAGAAAAAAAACAAACCATGAACCTTATTATGTACATTTGTTTATGTATGATATAAATCTAACTTCTTCAAACATAGAAAGTAAATATAAAATACTTAGAATCATTGTTAAATACATCTTTTTTGATTTATATATAAATCTCACTTGAAAAGTACCTGTATCGTTATATTTTGTATATAAAACGTGAGAGACGAGTTTTTAGATATATTCGTTCGAAAAATATTCATTTACAAGATGTAATATTAATCCGTCGATTGAAATATTTTTTTTTTTTATATATTACTATTTTACAATATATCATTTTTCATTTTATTTTGCCAAAACAAACAAACAAAGAAGAAAAGAAAGAAAAAAATAATTTTATTTTTCCTTTATACTTTCAATCGAAAACACTGAATAATTGTGATGTTTATTTTAAGTAAATACGTTGAGTTATAAGAGAGATATATATATGTGTATAGATTATTTTAAAATTTACATTTATATTTAAATAACGTAAAACCATTGTGATCCTTAAGTATTTTTTAATTTATTTATTTTTAAATTAATGTTAATCAAATATAAATGTAGTTTACGTGTATACTATGATCTTTATATATAGAAAACATTAACACGTTGATCGCCACGTAACCCAAATCCTGGGTTGCAACTATGTTTCCATACGGGGGGAAGGAAACACCACCTAATCGGCTGATGTTTTTATTTATTCAATTTTAATACATATTTTCAAGTAATTTGCAATTTTCCTTGTAACATGATCTTAACAAATGAGTACGTTTATAAGTAAAATAATATTATTTTTTTTTAAATTATATATGAATCGAACAGACGACAAATGTTGGATTTTCGTTGAAATGTTGAAACGTGCAGATGTTTATGAGGGATTTTATGATCAAAAGCTTTATATGATTGTTGATACTGTGGGGGAGTCTAAAAGAAGAAGAAAAAAGAGAAAACGGTATTTCAGATAAGCACTCTACGCATGTTTTAGGTATATCCCTTCAGTTTATC